CCTGCGACTAACCGGTCCGCATATGCCGCCGTGGTGCCAAACGAGATAAAAGATTGCGGCGTTTGGAGCACAACCCACAGCTGTGTCTGCAAAACTTGTGCTGGTACGTGGCTTCCTTCCTGCAGATCTTCTTGCTGGGCTTGGCTTTCTTGCACTTTGTCTTGGTGCCGATATCCTCGCACGGGCCGCATATCTTGCAGCTCTTCTTGCAGAACTTGTGCTGGTATTTGGTCTTTTTCGTGCACATCGACTTTGTCGGTCTGGCCATCCTGCACTTGGACTTCTTCCCAGTGTCTTTACAAACCGGTGGTGCCGGCGACGGCGACGGCAACGGCGACGGCAGGTTCTTGCACACACAGGCAAACTGGCTTCCGCAGCTGCTTCCTTCTTTGCCCTTTCCCTGCGTGTAGAACTCATCGGTGTCTTGCTCATACGAACATCCCTTTGGCGCCCATCTGGCGCCATCGATGACCGTTGCGCCGTTCACATCGATGCCCCGGTCGGCCCCCGCCACCTTGCACTCCTCCTCCTCGTTGATGGTGAGGCCATCGGCGTCCTCGCAAGTGGCCTCGCCCGAGAGCATGAAGTAACTGCCGGGCGGCCTCGGCGAGGGCGACTACTCTGGCACCCTGTCCGCGCCGCCCGGCGAGTGCACGCTCAACATGTACAACTTGTGGATGTGGGGCGACGGCTGGAACGGCGTCGAGTGGGAGGGTGCGGGCTATACGTTCACGCTCGGCTCCGGATCCTACGGCAGCGAGACGTTCATCCTCGCCCCCCTCCCTCCGTCCTCTCCGTCGCCGCCGTCGCTGCCGCCGCCGCCGTCGCTGCCTCCGTCACCGTCGTCGCTGCCTCCGTCACCGCCGTCCTCTCCGCCGCCGCCATCCTTTCCGCCGCAGCCGCCAATCGACTTCCAGGTCACTGTGGGTGGCGGCAGCTACCCGTCCGAGGTGTCGTGGGACCTGACGTGCAGCGGCGCGTTGATCGGCAGTGGAGGGGCTCCCCCCCCCTCCTCCTTCCCTCTCCGGGAAGAGATGCGCACTGCTGTCCCTAGAGGGGGGTCGGGTGGTGTGGGAATTGATTCGATGCTCGTGTTATTCGCGGTCACCCACGGACGATCGCTGGAGTGGGCCGAAGGACAGAGGCTTGCTTGTGTGGGGGCGCGCGGGCGCCCACTCAGGCTCGACCTCCGTTGTCTCAGCCTTCAGTTCACCTCTCCTAGCGCCCGGTTTGGTGTGGTGACCTTCATTTCGGGGTCGAAGGTGCTACACACACTTGCCCCCTGGTGTTCTGGCATTCGGCGTTCTCCATAAGAGTCGGATGTTTTTTTTTGGGAGAGTGCAGTGCAGGGCGTTTTCCAAAGGAATTCTCCCTTTTTTCCGGTGGGGTCGAAGGTGCCACGCACACTTGCCCCCTGGTGATGGGCTCGGGGCGTTGCTCGAGGAGGCGGCGAAGTTTTTGTATTTGTTTTCTGGATTATTGTTTCAGCGGACAAAGAAATACCGAGGAATACAGTGCGCACAGCTGCGTGCGGCAGGCACGGGCTCGACGTGGGGCAGGCGACTGTCGCGGAGTGCGGGCTGCATCGCTGTGCGGGGACTGCGCGGCGTGCGCATGTACCTTGCATGCGTGCTGTGCTGTGTGCAGGCAGGCTGGACAGCGGACTGAACGGATATGGCGGAGCGCGCGCGCAGCGTGCCACGCGCGCGCCTCGTGCGGTGCAGGATCTGCGACGTGTCTGGCGCGGGGCGGCAGGGGCGCAGCGCGGAGCACACGGGCTGAGTGTTCAGAACAGGCAGGGCTGCTGCACAGCCTGCACTGTGCAGCAGCCCTGATCGGGTAGCGGAGCGCGCGCGTGGTGGCCTGCGCGCGCGGCATGCCGCCGCGCGCGCCTCGCGGTGAAGCGTCCTGCCGGGCGCGTCGCGCTCTGGTGTGGCATGGCGCCTGAAGGAGTGTGCAGGCGCCTGTGAAACAGGCGCAGACTTCAGTGAGAGGCGCACTGCGGCGCGCGCGTCGCGGCGTGAGTGGTCGTGCAGCTGGCTTTGGTGGTGCGAGAGGCGGGCGGCTGGTGCGGGCGGCTTGGCGCAGCCATGGGGTGCCAGCACAGGGCAGACGCACATGGCACAGCTCTGAAGGCGCTGCGCGTATGTTTGCGTGCGCGCGGGGACGTACGTGTGGTAGTCACGCGGCGTGCGTGGAGAGGGTCATGAGGGGCGCCGGCCGCGCGTGGATCGGCGTGTGAGAGTGTTGGAGTGCCCGGTAGGCGCGTGAGATGGTGCCCGAATTGGGTTGCTGAAGGAACTGTTGCTCACAGCGTGGGCGAGTAGATGAGCCCGGAGAATCTCGGGCCATCTCGGGCCATCTCGGGACATCTCGAGGACATCTCGGGTCATCTCAGGCCATCTCGGGCCATCTCGGGTCATCTCGGGCAGTCGCGGCTAAATTTCTTTTCTCCACCCTCTCCGCGCGGCTGCCGGACAAGTGTGTGTGAGTGTGAGTGTGTGTATCGCGCGCCTTGCGGGGGGGGCGCGGAAAAGAGGAACCTCTTAGCGCCATCGCCACGGTGCTGCATGCAGCGCCGGGCGACGACGGCTGGTTTCGTATCAAGAATACTCACTCACTCACTCACTGCCGGACAAGTACACGAGCTGGACCGACAACTTGGCCAACGCGATTTCCATCGACTGGTCGGGCTTTTTCCTGCCGGAGCAGTGCCTCGGCTACGGTATGCGACTCCTCGCCGTCGCTCTCTCGGCTCTCGCCCGACGCCCTCATCGCACTGCTGATGGGACCGGGAATTGCGCTGCGGCTCTACTACTGGCGTGCTGCACCGCCACCGCGCGAGAGATCGTGGTACGCGGAGGCGGCCCTCCCTCCTCGCGACGGTGTATCAGTCGCCTTATGCCACCGTTGCAAGCAAACGGCCCATCGTTGCCGTTCATCGCGCTGCGGCCAGTCTCAGCACCGCCCAGCGAGCGCGTGGGCGTGTGCCGTGTGGCTGGCGTGACAACTCTGGACTCTGGTAGCGCTCCTTCAAAGAATTCGCGCCAGCCAGGTCCGATCCTGCTCAGGTATTTTGGCTCATGCTCCCTTTTGCTCGCCCTCCCGTCGGGAGCGACGGGGATGGTGACGGTGACGGTGGCGAGGGAGAGGAAGGGGGTCCATTAACACCAGACAGCGAGATCCACCGCCGCCGCCCTCTCCTTGGCCGCCCCCTCCACCACCACCCGCTCCTTCGCCGCCCTCTCCACCTCCACCGAGCTCTCCGCCCTCACCTCCGCCTCCCTCTCCGCCACCACCATTTCCGCCATCGCCCTCTCCGCCATCGCCCCCTCCACCACCACCCTCTCGTCTCCGCCTCCCCCGTCGCCGCCGCCGCCCTCTCCTCCTTCCACCAAGCCCTCCCCCCTCGCCCCCGCCTTCCTCTCCACCGCCGCCGTCCCCTCCACCGCCTTCACCGCCGCCGTCCCCTCTGCCGCCCTGGGCGGCCGGCGGTGACACGCCAGCCCGGCCGGTGGAGGAGCCCGTGGCGGAAGCTCTGAGCGCCTCGATGAGCGCCCAGGCGGAGGCCGACCTCGCTAAACACCGAGCGGCAGCGGCGCGGCGAGCAGGGGAGAGGCAGCAGGTGGCAGGCGGGCAAAGCAGAGGGAAATGGGGGTCTGGTGGTGGCAGGCGATCTGGCGCGAGATGGAGACCGCTCGAGCCAGAGTGCAGCAGATCGCGCGGATCGTTGCGAAGGGGCAGTGGCGAGGGCGGTACCCGGAGGTGCTCATCGTGGAGAACGCGACGCTGCTGATGGAGCTGCTCTACAACCAGCTGGAGGCACAGCCTCCGGGGGCCCGCTGCTGTAGCGGAGTGGGCCCCGAGTTTGAAAAAGGCCGACGGACGCTTGCGTCCTAGCCTCCAACAACGCCTCCCCGGCGCAGAGGGGCCCCCCGGAGGGATGCACAACCGCTCCACGCCACGCCGCTTGCGGCGGTCCTCTTCCCAGCTCCGCTGAGGGCCCGTGCGTTATTCTTTCCCCCCGGTGTACCTGTGCTAGTGCCAGTGCGCGCCAGTCCCGTGCCCCGTGTCTTCGAGGGAGCTTCGGTGCAATTCTAAATTCTTTTTCCCCATCGAGCCGGCATGGGAATCGCCGGCCCCCACCCGGGGGGTGCCCCTGCCAGGCGCCGCAAGCGGTGCCCGGCAGGGGCGGGTGCCCCCACCCCGAGGGGTGGGGTCGGGGTCGGGGTCCAACGTGATCCGGCCTATCGCCTCGGCAAGGTCTTCGGTGTGATTCTCCACCGGGTGTCGTCGAGCGAGAGTGCGGCAGTCGCGGAGGTGATGGCGTCGACCCGAGCACGCGCCCCTTAGATGCAGAACAGAAGACTGGGTGTCGTGTGCACCTTTCCGACTAGCTACACTACTACAGTACTTTTGAGGCTGTTTCATTCATGAACTCAAGCTCCCCCCCGCCCCCGCCCCTCCCTCCACACACACACACACACAAGAAACTCTCACACACACACACACACACACACACACACAACCTCTCTCTCACAACCTGCTCGAGCGAGTAGGTAGCGTTCTCGACTCGCGTATTCCGGTACACTGCGAGGCCCGGGGTTTGCTTTCGTGTTAGCGAGAATGGAGGAAAAATAATAAAGAACAGGCTTGCGATTTTTCTTTTTTCCCCCAACGAGCGGGAAGCAGCGGCGCCGGCCCCCTCCAGTCCGTCTTCGGCCCACCATGCGCCTCCTCCGCCTCGTGATGGAGGGCTTCAAGTGCTACAAGGACCGCATCGAGCTCGACCCCTTCTCCCCGAAGCACAACATCGTCGGTGCGCTTCTGCCGCCCCGCCGGCCGTGGCTGCCGTCTCACACGACCGCTCCCCGTCACCGCAGTGGGTGCCAACGGCTCGGGAAAGTCGAACTTCTTCGCCGGTCCGCAGCCTCCCTGCCAGCCCCCGTCCCGCGGGACGCAGCCCCTCCTCGCAGCCCCAACACTGCACCCGCGTCTCTCCGCGCTCCTGCCGCCGCCGCCCGCGCGCCGGCGCGCTTGCCGCCGTGCAGGGGTGGGAAGCGGGCGGTCGGGCCACCCCTCTTCGTGACGCGGCATCTAGCCCCGCTCGCCCCGCCCCCGCCGGGCGGGGTTCCTTCCTCCCTCAGAGACACATCGCTCTGCGCCCGTCCCGCCGCGAACGCTTTTCC